GGGGGGGGGGGGGGGGGGGGGGGGGGGGGGGGGGGGGGGGGGGAGTGGGTCCAAATTTCTACCCCTAAACACTTCAACACTCCTTTTAGTTCGTGTTTCACAAAAAACCTACAACTTTTTTAAGATTATAGTTTTATTATGGTTCATACCGAAGAGAAACTGTGTTTTCGATGCGCACCTTTTGTATCTATTATATTATTAGGTGCTTTATAGGCTATATTTGTTATTATCGTCGTGACAGCGACTGGTTTTTAACTGTGACGGAGATCCCTGATCCAATTACAGCTTTTCTCAGATCTCTTGATACAATAAAAAAAAACAGTTTAGAAACATATTTTATATCAAATGTGATCAAAATATTCGACACAATTTATTTTCATTTTTATAACTGAACTTATTGTCATTCTCTATAAATGTACTTGATTAATATTAATTAGTATAATTTGGATACTAATCATTGTAAGAAATCTTGTTTACTAATAAATTCTTTTTTTTATAATAGGAGTTCCAACGATTCATTCAAGCGCTAGATGGGCTAGAAAAGCAATTACCGTTGCTGGTGGCCACGGTTTGGGTAAAGAATTGAATCAACTATATCTTCCAGAAGGACTTGTTGTTGATGATGATAGAACGGTGTACATTGCTGATTGGTGGAATAATCGCGTTATGGCATGGAAACAGAATGAAATAGAAGGTCGTATAGTAGTTGGTGAAAATAGAGATGAATTGGAAGAATTATTTCGACCAAGCGATTTGATTATTGATAAAGAACAGAATTGTTTTATTATTAGTGATAATGGAAAACGACGAGTAGTCCGATTTTTTCGTGAAAATACTATCACCTCTGTAGAAACAATATTAGACAATATTCTTTGTTGGGGACTAACAATAGATGATGAAGGATCTCTCTACGTTACTGATATTGAGAAACATGCAATACGACGTTATAGAAGAGAAGAAAATATGACAACAGGAACGATTGTAGCAGGTGGAAATAAACGAGGTAAACTTAACAATCAATTTAGCACTCCTCTCTATGTTTTCGTCGATTCTGAGCATGCAATCTACGTATCGGATCATGAAAATCATCGTGTAATGAAATGGGCGGAAGGTGCTACAGAAGGAATTCGTGTGGCAGGGGGCCAAAGTGCTGGACAGGATTTAGCACATCTATGGTATCCTAATGGGATAATTGTCGATAAAGAAGGCACTATCTATATTGCAGATTCTCAAAATCACCGCGTGATGCGATGGCGTCAAGGAGAACCTCAAGGCGAGCTTGTTGCCGGGGGACATGGACAAGGTGAAAACGATGAGCAACTGAACGAACCAAAGAGTTTATCTTTTGATAATAATGGTAATATGTATGTCACTGATAAAAACAACCATCGTGTTCAACTGTTCAGTATTCATTGAATAGAATGAGAAATGTTGAAAAGAGGAGTTACGAAATAAATAACGTTAAAAATTAGGTCGTGCAAAATGCGGAAATCTCGGATTCAAATACGAGCGTTATGTGTACTTCAAAAAGTAAAGCTGACGACAGATTGGTTTTGATCGGACTGTCTGGGACAATCCACTAGCAGTGACAATACATATGGGTTTTTCATAGTTTTCGGAAAGTGTAATATTGAGGAAACTTGAAGAGGACTCTTCCCTTTCCCAACCTCGATATTTTTTTTGATCTCTTTCATCATTTTCAAAAGTGTGCCCAGGTCTACTCTATCTGTGTCATAAAAATCAGAATCATCCTACGTCAGCAAATTTATCAAAAATCAAAGTATTGAGGGTAGAGTGAGAGTATAAGTCTGGATTCGTATTAATAGAATACTCTCACCCACACTAGCCGTATAGGTTTTTGAGGAAGTATTATCGGAAGCCAAGATGATGAATTAGTATTTAGCTGGGTGTGGATGTGGGTGACGTTGAATACCGGCACTCATATGCACACCCACACTCACACCCACGATTGAAAAAATAGGTATCTAAAATAGAATCGAATAACTCAATAATTTCAATAAGAACTATCGAATTTTCACCGAAATGTCGAATATCGTGAGATAACGAATCCTTCCGGCGAAATTTGAGAGAAATGATAAGTCTGAGTATATGAATTCATAAGACATTTTCGTAATCTTTGATGATGTAAGTGAGTGAAAGCAGAAAATATTCCCAAAAGATGTAAGTTTTGATAAAGTCTGGGTGAATTAAGCTAGCTCCAGGGTGTGAGTGAGTGTAAGTGTGGGTGTTGGTTTGTGGTTGTGGTTGTAGATGTGGATGTGGGTGTCGGTGTGGGAGTTTCGGTGTTTTGGTATGGGTGTCGGTATTTGGACACGGGTGTAGTAGCAGATGGGCGTATGCGAGTATTCTAATCACTTCACATCCACGCCCACACCCTCAAGATGCTACTTGTTTAGCAATAAACGGTAGATAACAAAATAAAAAAAAAGAATTTTATTATATTCTATGTGTATACATCAAGGAAGATATGTCAGAACTAGCAAATAAAATTCAAGAATTATCAGATATTATAAGCAATTCCAATTTATTAATCATATTTATCATCTGTATTTTCTCGACGTTCACTTCGAATAAATTTTTGTTCGTTATATTTTCTAACAATATCATTTTTCATATTCTTATATTAATAATCATTTGTCTTTTTCGATTGATAAATATATTCATTACTTTTTTGTAAATTTCGTGCTTATATTGTTATTGTTGGTTATGTTAATTCACATCATTTATTATGTTTAATTTTAATTGATCGATGAACGATAACATCATCAAATTAATTTATTCGTCGAAAATGTTTACTCCAATTGGATTTTTTATACCATCGTTAAATTCCTTCTGTTTATTTATATATCGAATTATTGATGTAATATGTACTTTATTTGCTTTTATTAAATAATGATCGATATTCTATAGGAATAGTTCATAGAATATCGATTGATTTACAAATAAATATCTTTATTTTAATTCGATCGTCTTTTACTCAAATTATTAGTTTTATTGATTCATTTATTAATACAAGTGTATCAAATCTTGCTTATACTTATTGTTCAGTAAGTTATTATGTTAAATAGAAATTAAAAAAAAGTGATAATTGGTATTTTAGATAACATTTTATTTATATACAATGATATTCAAAGCATTCTAATGATGTTTAACAGGTGATAAAAAGAATGTTTTTTTTAAAAGAAGAATGATTCCGTCTTGATTTGTTCTGATTTCAAACCAGTTTGATTTAACCATGAACTAATATCAACCATAAATTGAGTAGGTCCACAAAGATAAACTTGTCTATTCATCAAATCTGAAACATTTAGAAAATCATCGGATTGAATTCGTCTATTGACCACTTGAAAAGATTTAGATGTATTAGCACCAGTAGAATCAAACATGGTTATAGTTGAAACAAGTGGAGATGAAATAAAATCTTTAAGTAAATCTATTTCATCACCACGACCAGAAAATAAAACAACAATATCAGTCTTTTGCTTCGTTTGAGATACAGCTTCAAACATAGCTAAGAGTGGTGTAATACCAATACCAGCCGCAATAAATAAAAGTTTTTGAGGAGTTTGATTTGTATTATCAAAACATGTAAATTCTCCTCCTACACCAAGAAATTTGCAACTAAGTGGTGATTTTTGATCATTGGATTGAGAATGTAATAAAGAGGATATCATACCTTTGGGTAAATGTTTAATCGTGCATGATATTTGATTTGTAGCATCGAATGTATTAGTATTTGAATTAAATGGAGGAGATGAAGAAATAGTCCATGTTCGAATATAATCATCATTGAGTGATTGAGGATTATTATTATTCATATGTTGATATGTTTGTGGAATTAAATGTGCAAAATCCAAAATAACATATCCACCGGGTTTAAATGAAACTTTCTCGTCTAATTCAAATGTAAATCTTGAAATAAGTTTTGTTAATTTTTTGATTTCTATCAATTTAGCATTTCTAGTAGATACTGTTGAAGGTTTACCCATTTTTTCAAGTTCTGTAGCAAGATAACGAATTGGTGGATTGTATGGAGAATATTGTTCAGGACCAATTAATTTCAAATTAAGACCTTCTTTAATCCATACATATCCAGTTAATTTAATTCTAGTTATTAGAGTTATACGAGGCATAATACATTCAGCTTCATCATCATAAATATTTTCAGCAATACCAGTTACATGAAGCATATCACCCGATGTAAAACAAGGAAATACAATACCAGCAACTCGATCAGTTTCAATATTTCCCAGAGATTGATAGAATCGATTTCCTGAATAATCTGGAATAACAATATATGTATGTCCATTTTCTTCATAAGTTCGAACAAAGCCAGGATATCCACCACGATGATTTATGCCAAGATCAGAAGTATTATCAGACATTGTACTCGTATGTCGAGTAGCTAGAAAGATGGTGCTAGCTTGATTAATAATATCTAAACATTCTTGATTGAAAGAAATTCTATCTGTATTTCGATAATCAGCTGCTGTTTGTGGATTTCTTTTGCAATATTCTAATTTTCTAATTGTAATATATTTTGGACAATTGCCTACATTTTCATTAGTTAATAAAGACATATTAAGTGTATCATTGACAATATTGGATGTAGCAATAAATCCAGCTACTTTATTTCTTCGACGATTACTAAAATCTACACCAATACCAGCAAAAGAACGATAAGGTGAATTAACTGTATTTATTATACTGGATAAAAATGGATCATCTTTTGGTAGAACAGCAGAAATATTTAATTCCATTTCTGATATAGCACGAATAAGTGTTGTAGGTGAACCAACAATAATTGTTGCCCATGGTCTACCATCAATATCAATAGTAGAAATAGCAAAATAACTTAAATGGGTAAAGAATTCTGAATGTTGATCTGGCATATCATCAGAAATCATGTTAGATACGATCATAGGCATATTTGATGGAGTATGCCTCTTCGTTTGAACGAAAATTTCACCTTCATGCTGATCATGTACTTTTATACGTTTTAACATTGATTTAGATTACAGTAGTATAAACAAGATCTAAAACAAAAAAAAATATAATCGTAATAAAATAATGTCAGTTGATAGTGTTGTCTATAAATACTGATATATTTTCTGCTTGGTCATAGCGAACAGAATAAAAGAAATGAGAGAATATAGAGAAAAGAAAAGAAAAAAAAATGCTTCGTCATAAGTACATTATGTTATTGTTCTTCTCGTTAGAGAACACATACAAAGTCAGAAATATCTTGCGATATGAAGGTTTATGCAAAGAAAACGTTATTTCTATTTAAATTATATATTTTAATCTTTTGCTATTGATTAAACTTATTTTTTATTTTTTTATTTCTGTTCAATTCGTAATCATCTGTATATTCTGATTTTCTTTTTAAATGAAATATTTGAAACAGCTCTGTTACGGGTCTGACCATATATGTAGGTCAATCTTTTTTTTCTTCTTCTATATGATATCACTTGTTATAGTTATGCTTTTTCTTTCTCGCTCTATAGATATATATGCGTGTTCTCTGTACATGTGTTATGAGAGAAGCGATTATTTGAAATAAACATATGACACCATTAACATGATTTCTATTTATCACTTAATTGTTGATAAGAAAGTCCATTGTCCTTCTCTTTTATAAGGTTTATTTTTTCTTCTAAACAAAGTTCACGACGAATATTCATATTTAATAATCTAACATTAATATACAAACCTACAATAAGATTGAGATTGCTTCTTTTTTCTCTGTTTCTCTCTATGCCAATCACAACACTAGCCAATGAAGTACATAGTGTTAATTCAAAGTTGAACGGCGTCCTCTATGTTCACATTTCGAATCGTGAGGAGAAACAAGAGGGTGTTTAGTAATTAAGGTTTTACTATATATATATACATATAGTTGGAACATGAACGAAAAACTGCTCATTTCTTGAAAGTGAGGGTGTGATTCGGTGTAGAAGTCTTAACAATTGCCAAGCATTAATTTTGTTTTTTCTTTCTTTTGTTCGATTAGAATCCCTCAAACTATAAAAATTTTCTTTCTTTCTTTCTGTTCTCTCTCGGGAACGGTTAAAGTACATGCCACGTGCTCGAATTACGTTTTCTTCTTTCTTTTGGTACTCATTTTCTTCATATAACTTTTTTTGCGCTTACAATATGTCAGCTACTGGGGATATGATTTAAAAAATGAATTATTCGATAGAAAAAACGACAATATTACGGTATATTCAACAATGAACGATTTTTACTATATGTTCAGTAGAAAATGAAATGAAACTAGATACATTATAAAAATGTTGATAAATATGTTGGAGAAATAAATGCACAAAGAGAACCACATGGTGAAGGGTCTGTGTTGCTCTTCTTGTTCTTTTTTTGTATACTTTTAGATGAAA